TAAAGGCTTGGAATCCCTGTCTGGTAATGAACGCATCCATATGCTAATGGAACATAATGTTCTCATGCTGTTTTCCTCAGAAAGGCCAGGATTTTTTATTTTTTTATTTACCCACTTTGTGATGTTTCAATATTGATGATATTTTGAGGTGTCCAAGTGACCTCCTCACACTGAACACATAAAAATACAAACAGCTTTTTTTGCTTTTTTTTGAAGGAAACTGTTGGTAGATGATGTGACTCATATCACATAATTTCATAATGTTGCCTGAGATTTATACCCATGCATTCACCCAAGGACTATCAATAGGAAATATTCTTTACATGTTTTCATGTTTGTTTATATCACCACACAAACATTTATGATGTAACAGTAACTGTGGCAGCTATATGGCAGCTTTCACAGGATTCTACCTGTCAGTGGGCTGTAAACCGTAAACTGTACTATATTTACATTACCATTTAATAAGATTTAAGATGCAAGATAATAAGATTAAGATTTTTTAAATGTTTTTGAAAGAAGTCTTTTATTCTTATCAAGGCTGCATTTATTTGATCCATAATATTGTAAAAACAGTAATATTGTGAAATATTATTACAATTAAAACAAGTTTCCTATTTTAATATATAAATATTTAAATATTTAATATATAAAAATATTATGTATTCCTGTGATGGCAAAGCTGAATTTTCAGCAGTCATTACTCCAGTCCTCAGTGTCGCATGATCCTTCAGAAATCATTATGCTGATTTGCTGATTATCAATGATGAAAGCAGTTGTACTGTAAATAGAATATTTTATAATATTTGTTTTTATATTTTATCATATTTGTGGAAACATTTTTTTCCAGGATTCTTTGATGAATAGAAAGTTTAAAAGAACAGAATTTATTTGAAAAAGAAATATTTTGTAACATTATACATGTCTTTACTGTTACTTTAGATCAATTGAATGCATCCTTGCTGAATAAAAGTAATATTCCTTTGAAAATATGATCGGTTTATCATCTTTACTGTTTGTAGTTTAAGGTTCTGTGTTTGAAATGTTCGGTTTGAGTACTTAACACTCTTCAATCTGTAAGGAGTTTGTATTTAAAGGGGTCATTGACTCTTAACTTTTATAAAGAATATCTCTTTGGATTTGAGACTTTAGTCTTTGCAACTTTACAGATCTTCTTTATGCACCAAGAGCTTGTAACACTCCAAAGAGAAAGGAAAAATTGAAATCGCATCATATGACCCCTTTAATGTAAGACATAAATGATTAATTTATAAGTTCTTTCATGAAATTAACTACAGTTTTTAGAAGGTTTGTTATTTAAAAACCTTGGTGGCTAGCTATTTCTCTATTTAAATACAACTAAATGAAGCTGTGTGATTAAGGTGACATTCTGATTTAAATTAAGAGCCACTAATGTGAAGCACATCTTCTTAGTGCTTACTTTAGGCTCTTCAGTGTCAGTAGGGCACAGTGATGCTCACTTTCAAATGAGTTTCACATGGTTCCTGAATGACGCACAACTGTAACAGCATACATACAGAAGCTCACACAACCTTATGTAAGTGCTCTCATAAGTGCACATGTGTAACCGACACTGTGTGAGTTGACACATGCTATTTGACAGTCTCTTACCTCACACCGTGAGGATCACAGTATGAGGATCGTGTGATGTCACTGTGATCATCGCATGATCTCACGTGTTGACTGGGTAGCTTCGTGAAGTACGCACTTTCTTGTGATTCTGCTTTGTCGTCTTGCTGGAAAAGATGGTGCGTCTGCTCAGCAGCTCATAACCCTGAGCCAATCAAGACATTTGCTGGACAGCCAGTGATAAAGGTGCTTTTTCAAGCAATCCATCAAGATGGTTTAATTGCTGAAATGTGGCCTATTTATTCAAAAGTTTGCAGCTTGCTGAAGTGGAAAACATTTGTCCTGGCTTTCTGTCTGGGCTGGTATCCTAGTTACCGATGGTCTGTCTTTGCGGGAAGCTGAGTAAACATCATGTTTTTCATTCATGGGAAACCTTCACCCACACAAGCTGTAGCTTTATTTAAGTTTCCAAACAGGAGGTGTGTGCATAAGCAACTGCATGTTAATTTATTATTTATAAGTATCTGAAATGGAGTGGAGAAAAAAATGAACAGAATCACATGAAGCATTTTGGCTTCAAGTCTTGCAAAATCAGTGTTAACGTTCTGACTGGAAAAAAATGTGATTTATTTGGTGCATTTCATGCTGGAACAAGTGTATAAATATCCATACTGAATTTCATTAATGATTTGTAACATCTCTTGAGTAGGAATCGTTGGTCCAAAAATATTTACACCTGCACAACCACATACTCAGATTAGTATTCCACAACTCTGCCAAACATCTCATTGATAGATGAGCTCTTTTTTGCGCATGTACTTTGGCTCCAAAGTTTCAACTCATAGTTCCAACATCATGTGCAAAAACTGCATAACTCACATTATTAACAAAAAAAAAGTGGTGAAATATCCCACAAAAAATTTGCATTCTCTGCTTATTGCGAATATAATGGGAGATTGTTTTGTAACAAAGGAAGAAAAAATAATATGTTTTTAAATTGAAATATTCTGTTTTTGCACGAGAGCAGCTGGTTTTATACTTTGTAGTTCTCATCCAAAGTGTAGCCAAAGCACATTGGTAATTTTTCCACTTGTACCACATTTGTCTTGATATACAAAGTTTCCTAAACTGACATCTAACACAGTTGAAACTGGTCCCAAAGTTTAAATTTGGCCTTTTTACAGCTGCTTTTGCAACATTTTTTGAGAGCAAATTGTGTGTGCTCGAAGACCGTTGTGCTGTTTTTTTTTTTTTTTTTGCCCCCTTTCCAGCACCAAACCAAATATTGACCAGGAACAATTTAGTGGTGATAATGTCCCTATCTGTTCTGTCCCCATCCTTTCCGCAGTGGCCCACAAATCATTTGTTCATCTCGGACCTAATCGCTTCCATAGCAAGCTCTTTTATTGCACATGCCGGAATTTTGAGGGGGAGGGAGTAGCAATAACAAGTTTTAGGAGTCAGAAACGGGGAGAGAGGGGGAGAGAGAGCATTAGACACTGAGAAGATCCAGAATAACGCTTTAGTGTTAATTAGTGATTGTTTACGCAGCTTTATGTCGTTTTCATATGCTGTTATTTTTTTTTTATCCGTGGTACAAGAACATTATGGAAACATTTCATGCAGTTCTTTTCCATACAACAACAGTTTTATGTGCCATTTTGAGATTTGAGAGCTGCTGCATTTTTAGTAAATGTGACCCTGGACCACAAAACCAGTCATAAGGGTCAATTTTTCGAAATTGAGATTTATACATCATCTGAAATTTGAATAAATAAGCTTTCCATTGATGTATGGTTTGTTAGGATAGGACAATATTTGGCTGAGATACAACTATTTGAAAATCTGGAATCTGGGGGTGCAAAAAAAAATCTAAATATTGAGAAAATCATCTTTAAAGTTGTCCAAATGAAGTTCTTAGCAATGCATATTACTAATCAAAAATGAAGTTTTAATATATTTACGGTAGGAAATTTACAAAATATCTTCATGGAACATGATCTTTACTTAATATCCTAATGTTTTGATATATTTACAGTAGGAAATTTACAAAATATCTTTATGGAACATGATCTTTACTTAATATCCTAATGATTTTTGGCATAAAAGAAAAATCAATAATTTTGACCCATACAATGTATTTTTGGCTATTGCCACAAATATACCCAAGCGACTTAAGACTGGTTTTGTGGTCCAGGGTCACAAATGAGATTTGTAATAAATGAGGACTTAGAATGGCTGAAAGATGTTATAATAAATTATTTTTCTTTAATTGGCTAATATAAAAATTCAGTACAATTCAAATAAATTGAATCTGTATAAATGAAAAATAAAACACTAAAAACTAAAATCAGTCATTGTAAATGCTACTGGTGAATTTAGGTATATACTTGTAATGATATACATTATTATAAGTATAAAAATAGATATTCATTCTGAGATTTGCTAAAGATTCGATTTAACGATGTTATTGAATTATTAGTGTTTTTCAAGATTAACTTTAAGTGAGCATTAGATGATGGCAAATATAATCTAAATGTAAAAATAGGAAGTATTTGTATGCACAATTAAATATCCAATAATTCTGAATTTCTTTGTTATCTATAACCATAATCGTACCAATGTATTGTGCATTATACGTATATTGTGGTTTTTGTCCCTTTTGGAACTTGACAGTCTGTCAAGTTGTTTTAGAAGAACTATGTACTGATATTTAACATTCTAAAGTGATTTTAAAATAGCTTTGAACTCACACACTTGAGCCACTGGAAATCCCTTCCCCACACGATCAGTCCTGACCAGCATCACTGTGGGTGCAGTTTTGTAGCTCAGCAGCTGTGGGACAGAAGAAATACATCTTGTTGTCACTAGATGCGGGCTGGATGAAGAAGAATGGGGAAAAATGGGTGTGAGGGGGATCCTCAGCAGAAACGTTTCTTCAAAGTAAATTAGATTTTTTTTAACGGCCCTCTCCATCCCCAGAGCCGCTATTAATTTAACCTAGATTTACTCTTACTGTTACAATTTAGAAAGGGATCAACTAGAAACACTGTCATAGAAAATCTTGATACCTTTAGCGGATTTCTTGCCATGTGCAAGCTCTGCTGATTTATACTGCATTTAGGAAAGGAGTGAAGAAATAGAGGATGAGAAAATCAATTGCACCCTCCAAGCCTTATTTATGGCTGCGCAAAAGCAGAGGACAGAGAGGACTGCTGGTAAACTTGGCACCAGAGGAGCTCAACTGCAGAGGACAGAGCTGACAATGTGCCAAAAGATAACATACATACAGTATATAAAAAGAATAATTGATGTATTTGTTTGTTATTTAAATAATAATATATACCTGCTTTTCATACTGTTTATTCATGTTATAACCCATTCATTTTTCTCTTCCCTTCCTGATTCAGATCCAAGCAGAGGACCTCATTTTACGGGCTGCCGCTCCAGAGAGCAGGAGACCTTCCGTTGTTGGTGGAGCGCTGGGACCTTCCAGAACCTCACCGAGCCTGGAGCCCTCAGGGTCTTCTACCAGACTAAAAAGTAAGGGACAAACACTGAAAGACACCAACTACTTTAAGGTTTCAAAAAGACAGGTTGGAGGAGGATACATTTCATTTAATAAACAAAAGCCATCCCTCCTGCCAAGATGCAGACCTTGTAGTGTCACATGTGCAGATAAAGGGAAGGCAAAATGAAGAGATTAAAGTTACACAGGAGCATGAGAAGACACATAGTTTAAACATTGTGATTAATGAATTAAACGTATTACATTCTTAAACAGGATCCAGGGTATCGAAGATGACAAATCAGTCAATTTTTTAAAATAATATGATAATAATAAAAAAAAAGATATAATATATTTTAAAACTTTATACTTACCTACCAGTCAAAAATGTGGAATCATGAAGAGTTTTTAATATTTTTGAAAGAAGTTTGTTTTGCTCAAGAAACATTTTTTTATTTTATCTATGTTGAAAACATTGTTTCTTGAGCAGCAAATCAGCATATTAGAATGATTTCTGAAGACTGGCGTAATGGCTGCAGTTTAAAATACTGTATATCAAAAAAGAAAACAGTTCTTTAAAATTGTCAAGTTCTTCACAATAGTATTATTTTTACTGTATTTTTGACCAAATAAATGCAGCCTATATTGATAAATGTTCATAATTTTTTATTAAATTGTGTGTCATTTAGTGGACCATGAACATTTTAAGTTAAAATATTATATTAATTTATAATAATTATCTCGTGGTGTAAAACAAATGAATTGCTAAAAGTACAACTATTGACTTTAATTGACTTTTAATTACTTTTTAATTGAGGTCATAAAAATGGCATGCATAATAATTATAAAATAATGATCAAATGCTGTTTAAAATGGTTTTAGATAGAGTATAGCATGTTTCACCGGATTGTATGATTTAATGTTTTCGTCTTCATTTATAAGTATTTCAAGTCAACTGCCCAAATATTTACTAATAAATCCATGTAGTGCAATGTACTGAGGTGTTTTGTTTCATATTGTTTTCTTTATTGACTGGCATCTAGTGCCCTTTCTGAGTGGCAGGAGTGTCCAGACTACACGCGTACTGTGGAAAACGAGTGTTACTTCAACATCGTCTTCATTTATAAGTATTTCAAGTCAACTGCCCAAATATTTACTAATAAATCCATGTAGTGCAATGTACTGAGGTGTTTTGTTTCATATTGTTTTCTTTATTGACTGGCATCTAGTGCCCTTTCTGAGTGGCAGGAGTGTCCAGACTACATGCGTACTGTGGAAAACGAGTGTTACTTCAACAAGTCCTACACACACATCTGGACCTCGTACTGCATCCAGCTGCGCTCAGTTCCTCAGAACATAACCTATGATGAGGCCTGCTTTACACTGGAGAACATAGGTGAGTTAATAGCTATGAAACTGCTCCGTGAAGGATAGGAAACGGTTACAGAAAGATCAATGTTGGAGGCCTGACTTAAAATGTTTTGTGACTTTCCAGTGCATCCTGACCCACCAATTGGGCTGAACTGGACTCTACTGAATGTGAGTCGCTCAGGGTTGCACTTTGACGTCCTTGTGCGCTGGGCTCCCCCTCCATCAGCAGATGTGCAAATGGGCTGGATGAGCCTGGTGTACCAGCTTCATTACCGGGTCAGGAATGCCTCCCACTGGGAGATGGTATGTTGTTAGCACCTCATACTGGAGAAGAATAAAGGAAGGATGGTTTATGAAAGGTTTAGCATAACCTTGATAAAAAAAAGTGTTACATTAATTTTCAATAATTCAGCTGTCATTAGTCTATAAACTCTAATTATATAACATTTACCACATTACCACATTTTCATCCCTAAAACTGTTTGTAGGCAATTATTAAAGTAACACTATTGTGTGTGGGAGAGACTCATTTTGATTATAAGCCATAAACATGTTCTCACTTTAAAGATGATGTAGAAAAGTGATATATATATAACTAAAATGTGGTCAACAAACTTGGGGCTATTTATTTATTTACTTATATATTTGTTGTTAAGAGCAACTCTCAATGTCTCAATGTCAAAGCAAGCATGAATGTGCAAATGCTGCCTAAATAATATATTCATATTAACCTTGGTTACACTTTATTTTACTGTATCCTTGTTAAAGTGTAATTATACATTTAAGTACTGCGTAATATTAATTAACTACATGTACTTACTATATGGTTAGGGTTAGGATGAGGGTTTGGTTTAGGGTTAGATGCATGTAATTATGCATAATTTATTGTTATTAGTAACATGTAACATGTAAAAAGGGCACCGTAAAATAAAGTGTTACCTTAACCTTTAACATTTTTATCAGTCAATGAGGATTAAATATTCAGCAGTGCTGTGGCATAAAATAATGTAAACCTAGAGAATCCATCTTTAAAAGTAAGTCTGTGGAGTTCATCAGACCATCACAGAACATTCTGAGGCTGTTTTGATCTTCCTGTCTCGATGAACTCCCAGGCATTGCAGTGGAGGAAATTGGCTATCCCACCCTATTTATTGTATTCTGAGAAATACAAGTTTGTGTTGGAGACACATTATAAGCTAGTATTCATCTACTCTTTCTAAAAGGGTCACCACTGGTCCAGAGCAGTCATATATGTTCTGTAATTCAGGCTTGGTTCTGGGAGATCTTTGCATCTGGCAGGATCTTCAGGAGCTCTTTCGGTTTACACTCCCCAACAGCCATGTTCCCCCAGCCTGCCCAGCGGTCCTGCCCAGACTGAGCAGACACACGAAAAACCACATTGAGCCACATGTTAAATCACTGCCGTATGTTGGCAGGCCTGAACAGATCAGAGGGGAATGATTCACTGGTATAGTTATTCCCATAGGCCCTCTTCTGAGGTCACATATAAGTACATTCGCTTTTTGGTGTCCTCAAGAGCGTTTTAGTTATAAACTTTAAGGATTATTTTTAGTGAGGTTCTTGACAGTTATTCTCTTTGTGGGTCAAAATGTGGTGCTAAAGCCAGATTAGTACAAAAGTGCAAAGAAAAACAAATAAATAATATTGCTGAGAAAAGCCCCTCAAATGAAGATAAGTCATTCTGTTATTTCCATATCATTGGCCTACAGTCCACTGTAATCCATTTTGCAATTTGTCGACTAAATTAACATTAAATCTGTTTACCATTTCAACACATTAAACTGACAGCCCTGAGAAAACGTACAGATCTTTTCACATACCCATTTGTCTCTCTGAGTAAATGTAATGGCTCACAAATGCTAGTTTATTGCTCAATTCCTTGGTTTGTTCTTTTCTTATTTACTTTTTCATCCTTTCTTATTGCAGCTGGACCTGGAGAGTGGCACACAGCAGTCAATCTACGGTTTGCATACTGACAAAGAGTATGAAGTCCGGGTGCGCTGCAAGATGCCAGCCTTTGACAACTTTGGTGAATTCAGTAACAGCATCATTGTGCATGTGGCACGGATACCAAGCAAAGGTTAGTTGACGCCAAGAACTTGACTTGTTGTTTGCACAAAGTGAAAGCAGCTGTGCAGGTGAACCATCATGAATCAGATAAGCAAACTTGCTCCAGGGTAAGAAAAGAAAATTTTTCTTTGCACAGAATCAACGTTCCCGACGACGTTGGTGTTCATTTTTGGAGTGATCGGAGTGGTGATTCTTCTTGTCCTCCTCATCTTCTCTCAGCAGCAGAGGTGAGATAACTATTTTTAAAAACCTATATGGTGTATCTCACAGATATGGTCATGTTTCAACCCAAAATCAAAAGAAAGAAATGTTAGAAATTAGGTTAAAAATTAGATTATACACAATGCAAATGAAGCCCGCTTTTTTAAACCATCAAGATTTAAAATGAAGATTTAAGAATTTTTTTGTAATTAGTTTTGCTAAGCTGTTAAGATAAAAGCAGGGAATTGCTCTGTCTACAGAACCCCAGGAGCAACACACAATAACAAATGCATATAATGGTTTTCATTTACAATATTTTGCTAATTTGTTTCCATAGGTTGATGGTGATATTTTTACCACCTATTCCTGCACCTAAAATTAAAGGCATCGACCCAGAGCTGCTGAAGGTAATTTTGCATTAAACATGTACAATTTTACATGAACATGTACCTGATCATTTTGTTAATCTTTTAATACTAATTATATTTGTCTTGTTTTTGCAACTGCAAGTCATTATAATAATGTGTAATACAGAATGTATAGCATGGAAAATGTATTACCTAGTGCGTTTTTGATTTAAGAATTAGTCAGAAATTACTACAGCAATTGTCAGCAAAACAATGATGTGACTACATGAATAAGTATATTAGGCAGAGTGTTACATAATAATTATTTAAATTGTTGCATTATAAAATTAGACTGAAAAGATTGAGCCTCTGTGCAAACCTAGCATGAGTTGCAAAATGGCATGAATCACTGCAAAACTTGATTGTTTCGAAAAGGTCATAATTGTTGACATGTTGTGGGTGTTCCCCCGTAATTATTAAAACCTCCAGAAAGCTCAGGGACTTGTTAATTAAACAACCCTCATACTCCATTTTTAGAGCATAATGTAAGCATTAAGCAATTAAACCCCATGAGCAATCGAGAACAAACACACCTATGCCCACATAGAAATGTAATGTTTTTGATGCATGATGATTGATCTTGAATTTTTGTTCCTATCATAGTTTTATTTTATTGCATATAGGACTTGTTTTTTAGGTCATAATAACACCATATAAATGTTCCTTAACTGACAGAATGGAAAGCTTGGCCAGCTCAATTCTTTGCTGAGCAGTCAGGATATGTACAAGCCAGACTTCTACCATGAGGATCCATGGGTGGAGTTCATCCAGCTGGACCTTGATGACCCTGCAGAGAAGAATGAGAGTTCTGATACACAACATCTGCTGGGCTTGAAGAGCTCAGGCTCTTCTCACTTCCTTAATTTCAAAAGCGACAACGATTCAGGTCGTGCTAGCTGCTACGACCCAGAAATCCCAAATCCCGAGGACTTGGCTTCCCTTCTGCCTGGCCATTCTGGACGAGGAGATAACCACCCTCTGGTTTCCAGAAGCAGCTCATCCATCCCTGATCTTGGCGTCCAGCAGACATCAGAAGTGGAGGAGACACCCATTCAAACGCAACCCGCTGTGCCCAGCTGGGTAAACATGGACTTTTATGCCCAAGTAAGTGATTTCACACCAGCAGGAGGAGTGGTGCTTTCACCTGGACAACTGAACAGCTCTCCGGAGAAAAAGAAGGAAGAAGAGAATGAGAAGAATATACAATTCCAGTTGCTTTCCGATGGAGCCTACACCTCAGAGAACACAGCCAGGCTGCTTTCTGCCGACGTGCCACCCAGCCCTGGTCCTGACCAGGGGTACCAAGCATTCCCAACCCAAGCCGTTGAGTGGAACCCCTGGAATGGCGAGTACCTAGTGTCCGCCAGTGATTCCCAGACACCGTGCCTGGTTCCTGAAGCTCCTCCAGCCCCCATACTGCCACCAGTATCAGACTATACTGTAGTGCAGGAAGTGGACGCCCAGCACAGCCTCCTCCTGAATCCTCCTTCCTCACAGCCCGCGATATGCCCTCACAGCCCAAACAAACATCTCCCTGCAATGCCAACCATGCCCATGGGGTACCTCACCCCAGACCTTCTGGGAAACCTGACCCCATGAAGGGACTAAAAAGCACAAAGTTCATGGTCTTGTTGTACCTTCTCGCTGCTGGAAACCAAAGTTGCATGAATCGTGTGACACGTGATGGAAATGCCATTTTGTTTGGGAATTCTGCACATGAATTTTTCTCTGCTGTACGCGATAAAATGGAAGAAGCTGAAATGTTTCTTTTCTGTCAGCTGTTGCAGTAGTGCTACGCTAGCTCACCGAGAGATTTTAAATGTGCTTTCGATTTACAATCAGAAACAGCTGGTTACATGCAACAACAAAAAAATCACTACAGATATATGCTCGATGGCTGTGTCTGAGAACCATTTTGAAAATGTGTTTATCTTATTACAAAGATGCAGATCTAGAGCTACTGTGGCACTGGGATGAAGAGTTGACAAAATGAATTCAAACACATCTTTATACAAAATTGTTTACACACAGGTGGAAGACGAATCACTTTATTCTGATTACATCAACCCAGATTTGCTCATATATGGTATATTAAATATATTCCATTGCATCCTATCAAGGTTCCTGAATTATTTAGTTTTGTGGACGAGTCAATATTTTTTCTCAAATCTCCACACAGCCTTGATCTTAAGGGAACCTGCTTCCCCAGATTTATGGGAGCCATTCGGAGCACTGCATCCTTTCTGCACATTTTATCTTCTGCCATAGCCAGAAGGATAAACTCAGCAAATTAACTTTTTCAATATGCTACAACACTAAAAATGGGGTTGTGGCGCAGCTGTGTATTTTAGCATCACTATATATGACTGTAATATTTGAGATCATTACTAGAAAATGTTGAGACAAGTTTTTGTAATGATATTAGCCCACTGAACAAGGTGTTACCTTGTTCAAAAAGTGAAAAATGATTTTTATTTGTATTAATGTATCCAGGGGACATGTCAAAAACAAAGTGCTTGTAGAGACTTTGCTGTGCAATGCAGACTGTATGGCAAGTTTTCTTATATGTTATCTTTGTACATGTAGCGGTTTTATATTGATGAAGACACTATAAATGTATACATGCATTTTCAATGGGAGTTACACTACAGAATAGCTGGGAAAGATGTGCCAATTTTTGGACTCGTTTAATTAGACAAAGACTTGCCATTAAATAAGGCTACAATTCTTGCCTGGACAATTAATTCAGTGATGTCCTCTAGAAACAGCATATTCTTGTGCACCATGGCCTCTACACGGGGACAAAAGCTGCTTTTAACTAGAGCTATTTAATGAAATCATGCATTATAATAGAAGAAATAATAACTGGAGAATCTTTTTTTATTTACAACCATAGACTGTTAAGATTTGTCAAGCCACATATTGGAAACCCAGTTGGTGAATTTCTATGCTCTTGATAAGTTTGTACAGAAAAAGTATTGCTTGTTAAGTTGTATACAGTAGATGAGCTTATATTGAGCACTTTGTGACTCTTAAATATTCTCTGTTTTTAGAGAAACACAGTGGAGGTATATGATGGTGAAGAAGGAGCCTTTGGTTTACAGCTTAATTGGTCCCGGGTTTGCCTATGATGCTTGAATACTGGGTCCTAACTTGTTTTAGGTGTCTGTTGTAGTTACAGTGCCTTCCAAAAGTGTTTGATTTTATTCTGATTTTGAGTTAAATGTATTTGTGCCCCAACCTTTTACAAGTATACTAAAGGTATTCAGACAGTCTCACAAACCATTTCTTGCTCAATGAATTGCTCTTAATTCTTAATATTGCATATGCCAACAGTAGCTAAAGAAATAGTTCAACCAAAAATGACAATTTTGTCTATTTTAAACATTCTTCATGCACATTTTAGTCTCATCGTTTACAAAGACAGTGAACCACGATTTTGAAAAAGTCATCAATACGACTGCTGCTCTATATTCTCAGTCATTTGAAAGCTTTGTGTAATGAACAAATTAAAATTGAAGCTGTTATTCTGTGATAATCTTCAGCTCCATTAGACTGGGTCATAAAATCAGTGAGTTGAATGATTCAGGAATGACTTTAGTCCAATTTGTAAATCTAATCAAATCCTATTTTGTTTACTGAAACAGACTCACAAGAACAATTTGTTCACTTATCCAGTCTTTGAGTTCAACTCACCGACTTACTGATTTGGTCTCTTCAGTTCTTGAGATCCGGACACTTGTAGCAGGACGCATACGATTACTTTTGTTGTCATTTTCGGAGCTTGATCAACCTAGTCACTATGAACCGATATAGTATAGGAAATAGCAATGAGAAAATTTACCAGAAGTTCCCTTTTTGTGTTCCATGAAAGAAAAAAATGAATAAATAACAGCATACAGGTTAAGAACAACATGAGTGAGTAAATAATGACAGAATATTCAGTTTTGAATGAACTGATCTTCATGTAATTTGCTATTTACAGACATCACAGAACTAGGCTGATCTTTCGCTGCTGATGTTCTGCCAGATCTGTACAGATGCCATGAGTAGAACCTGCTTGTAGTGCAGCCTTTGTGGCCAGTTTTTTCCCTTAGTATGTGAAAGGTCTAAAATGTGCTGTTACTTTCAACCTGCACGTAGTTTAACATTTCTTTAGGTTCCTGCTAGTCCACACGTAAATTCTGGAGTTATTTTATCATCTCATATCCAGTTTTGTTTAAATACAAAACATCTTTAAATTGCTTTTGGAAGGCAGTGTATGTGCTTTCATAACTCAGGCAAAGTTAAAAACAAATCTATTGTTTGATTTAATAATTTATTTAGTACAATTTGAGTGTTTCGTTGTACCGCAGTAGAACGAAGTGCCATAATTATGATGCTAAGCCTTTGTTTATTGTGCGAACACACAGATACACCTAAGACAAATGGGACCAAAAACTGTTGAACAATGAGCCAGAGGGGAGGCTCACTTGATGCTGAAACTCATACTAGAGACATATGTAGTATAGATATTGGTGTAGAGAAAAAATGGTACAGAAGAAAGTATTTAGCTTTTTCTTATTTTGAACTTGAGCTGGAGAAAAAAAAAAAGTTAAAATATTTACTTTTATATTATGACATGCAGAAATATAAAGTATTTTATATAATATATTATATACAATATGTATAATATATATATATATATATATATATA